CGATCTTGTAATTTACAACATGTTTATTTGTGTCGACACTTCAGTTGTTAGTAACGATCTTGTAAATTATAACATGTTTAGTTGTGTCGACACTTCAGTTGTCAGTAACGATTTTGTAATTTACAACGTGTTTAGTTTGTGTCGACACTTCAGTTGTCAGTAACGATCTTGTAATATACAACATGTTTAGTTGTGTCGACACTTCAGTTGTTAGTAACGATCTTGTAATTTACAACGTGTTTAGTTTGTGTCGACACTTCAGTTGTCAGTAACGATCTTGTAATATACAACGTGTTAAGTTTGTGTAGACACTTCAGTTGTCAGTAACGATCCTGAAGTTTTCCACATTTTTACTTTGTATTCACACTTCGTATTCCAGCTATGTTGTTATAAGATTCCTATGCGCATCATTTGTTTTGACACTTCAGTTATCAGTGATGTTCTAATAATTTCTCAAGTGCCTTGTGTCAAGTGACCAGTTTGTGTAAAAAAAACCAGTTGTTAGTAACGATGATGTACGTACTTCAGTTGCCGTTTATAATACATGTACTTCAATGATCACTTACGATCAAGTAGTTTTCCAATTGAATAGTTTGTGTTGACACTTAAATTGTCAGTTAAACCAGCCTGTGTTAATAGTTTCCCACTTTCCTAATATATGTTAATAGTTTCTCACTTTCCCAATGTGCTTATAGTTTCCCGCTTTCCCAGTCTGTGTTAATAGTTTCCCACTTTCCCAGTCTGTGTTAATAGTTTCTCACTTTCCCAGTCTGTGTTAATAGTTTCTCACTTTCCCAGTCTGTGTTAATAGTTTCCCACTTTCCCAATGTGCTTATAGTTTCCAACTTTCCCAGTCTGTGTTAATGGTTTCCCACTTTCCCAGTCTGTGTTAATAGTTTCCCACTTTCCCAGTCTGTGTTAATAGTTTCCCACTTTCCCAGATAATTTCCCACTTTCCCAATGTGCTTGTAGTTTCCCACTTTCCCAGTCTGTGATAATAGTTTCCCACTTCCCAGTCTGTGTTAATAGTTTCTCACTTTCCCAGTCTGTGTTAATAGTTTCTCACTTTCCCAGTCTGTGTTAATAGTTTCCCACTTTCCCAATGTGCTTATAGTTTCCCACTTTCCCAGTCTGTGTTAATAGTTTCCCGCTTTCCCAGTCTGTGTTAATAGTTTCCCACTTTCCCAGTCTGTGTTAATAGTTTCCCACTTTCCCAGTCTGTGATAATAGTTTCCCACTTTCCCAATGTGCTTGTAGTTTCCCGCTTTCCCAGTCTGTGATAATAGTTTCCCACTTCCCAGTCTGTGTTAATAGTTTCTCACTTTCCCAGTCTGTGTTAATAGTTTCTCACTTTCCCAGTCTGTGTTAATAGTTTCCCACTTTCCCCCTGTGCTTATAGTTTCCCAGTTTCCCGCTTTCCCAGTCTGTGTTAATAGTTTCCCGCTTTCCCAGTCTGTGTTAATAGTTTCCCACTTTCCCAGTCTGCGTTAATAGTTTCCCACTTTCCAAATGTATGTTAATTGTTTCCCACTTTCCCAGTGTGATTATAGTTTCCTACTTTCTCAATGTGTTTTAGCACTTCAATTGTCAGTGATTAGCCTGCATTGCCCACGCTTGTTTACGCTTTCTCTTTTATATAGCGTTTTTATTTACTAATGACACAGACGATCAATACTGATCTATATGGTGGACTAGGCGATATCACGGTAAAATATGCACATAATATATGGACATTTAAAAATTGTTAAGCTATTCATTTGCATTTAACATGAGTTTGTTTACGGTTCTAAATACGTAATTTTGTGTATCAACTAGTTCACGTGAAGATACTGCATAGGAATCATTTGAATAAATCGTGGTAAGTACGTGTGATGAATCGATCTGACTACAAGCATTACAAATACGTAGTTATATATTGAATTATGACATCATATTCAAGTGTATCAAAAACATTTATAAGCGAATTTGATTTAACAAATACAACGACCTAAACTCTTGATTCAAATATTTATTGTATTAAATTTTTTCTTATATCTATTTCGGGTGCGTATACCAGGGCTCCGTGAGTAAAGGGAGACAACTCACTATTGGACCATATTTATTTTAAAAAATACGATAGAATTTCTCTCTTTGTGGAATTAAACAAATATCTAAAATGTATGATATAGAGGCGTAACAAAATAAAAACAAGTAAGTAAATGTTGCAAGTTTGCCAATCATTAATTCTCTGAAGACATTTCTTAAATAAAAGACAAACTGAATGTTTGAAGACGAAATTGTTTGGTCTATCAAATAAATGCGTGGTATAAGGAGAGTAGGGGCATTACAAAAACATAAGGCTTCATCGGTAATTAAGACTCTTTTCATTAAACTTCAAGCATACACAGGAATCATAATCATCACTAAACAGTATTAATAGATAAAGGCGTGTGTGATACCACGGACAACCACTTAGTGTCAACACAGACCATAAACATGTGTGATACCACTGACAACCACTTAGTGTCAACACAGACCATAAACATGTGTTGTACCACTGACAACCACTTAGTGTCAACACAGACAATAGACATGTGTTGTACCACTGACAACCACTTAGTGTCAACACAGACAATAGACATGTGTTGTAACACTGACAACCACTTAGTGTCAACACAGACAATAAACCTGTGTTGTAACACTGACAACCACTTAGTGTCAAAACAGACCATAAACCCGTGTGATACCACTGACAACCACTTAGTGTCAACACAGACCATAAACCCGTGTGATACCACTTAGTGTCAACACAGACCATAAACATGTGTGATACCACCGACAACCACTTAGTGTCAACACAGACCATGAACACGTGTGATACCACTGACAACCACTTAGTGTCAACATAGACCATAAACCCGTGTGATACCACTTAGTGTCAACACAGACCATAAACATGTGTGATACCACTGACAACCACTTAGTGTCAACACAGACCATAAACATGTGTGATACCACTCACAACCACTTAGTGTCAACACAGTCTGATACCACAGGGCCATCATTTTCAACTACACATTATCAACACATTGTGTTATCAAATGACTATCGTTGACAAATACACGGTGTCGACACCAATAAGCACGTGTGATATCACATGACCATCACTGACAAATACACGGTGTCAACACAAACCAGACACTTGGGATATCACATGACCATCACTGACAAATACACGGTGTCGACACTAATAAGTACGTGGGATATCACATGACTATCATTGACAAATACACTGTGTTAACACAAACCAGACACGTGGGATATCACATGACTATCACTGACAAATACACTGTGTTAACACAAACCAGACACTTGGGATATTACATGACCATCGGTGACAAATACACGGTTTCAACACAAACAAGAACACATGTGGTACCACTTGACCACCGCAGGCAAATATACGGGGTCGACGCCAATTAGACTCTTGTGATATCACATATCAACAGAAAATAGTGTCGTGTGACACAACAGGATATCAATAATAAACATAGTGTTAACAAAATGACATATATGACGACTACAATAGGATAGTACATAAGATAGAAATTAAAACATATGATTTATGATTATATTGACATTACCAACCCCCAGAAAATATTCCGAAATATTATATGTTTATATATGTTTTTACCAGTATAGCTGTTTTTTCGATGTTTCTAATAAAATATAGGTGGTACATAATGGAAGCTCAACACTAAAATATTTAAGCAATGTGCCCCTTTTGGATTCTCACACGAACACTTATGTGAATAAAATTTCAGAGTATCTTACCCCCAAACGATGAAAATCTACTGTCCTTGAACCTAGAACGTGCAGAATCCTTTTCCGATTTTTTCATCTCCTCTTTTTTCTTTTCTTCCTTTTTCTTGTCAACTTTCGTCTCATTTTTGATCACCTCCGCGGCAGGTTCATCGTCGCTGGAGTCTGACGAATCGTCCATTATCTTATCCCAAGCTTCCGTCATGGATACGGTGTAAAATCCATCCCAATAATCATTTGTTTGGTAAACTCATGTCCACAGATATCTAGGTATCTAGGTTTACCTGGACGCCATTTTCCACACAGCACACAGAGAGAACAATTATTATAATCGTATAATCCACAGATCAGTGTTACGATGCATATTCTAAATCGTATTATTAAAAACTTTTCTTTTGTTGCGTTTTAAATCCTTTTTCCATTCTCAACGGTAGGGTATATAGAATGTGACCTACCGATTGTGTGTACAGCGAGGGTGTTAAGCCAGTTCTCGCTCACTACCTTATACCTCCTCAACGATATCCAATGCGTGTTATAACCGTAGGTACTTTGTTAGTCTATGTCATTTTAAACCACATTGTACTTTGAATTGGTCTTAATTGAATAGTTTAAAGACCCCTTTAGTAAAATTTCTTGCCATATGCAAGTACAGAAGCTAGCAGAGAGAAGTTTATAACAAAACAGGTGTGAATTATATTAGTTGGATCTTTTCTTCTCAAGAATTTACATAAGTATATACATATAAAACTCGTCAACGACCGCTCCAGATATGTACACCCATCCCTGATGGAAATAAGTATACCTTTAAATTTTAGCGATTTCAATTTTATTTAAATTGTAGTACCATGAAAGGAAAAAAATGGTGAGCGTGAACTCGACTGAATCAGATCTTTCGCAAGGGATGATCCAAATAGTGTTCAATAATGACTATGGTAGATCTTTACATTGCGAGGAGTGTTTTCAGCGAACCATTGCGGTACCGGGACATGTTAGTCCTTTCATGTATTCCCCGGAGATACATGTAATGGTCAATACACATGGTTGTATACTCGGATGTGCACAATACTTCAAACATTTCCACGCATGGGATTAATTGGAAAAGGACTTTGTCTGGTATCTCTACATAAAAAAAAATCGTCGAATATAATTATATCAATAGGAAATCTAGTGGAAACACAACAAAGTAACAAAAGACAACATAAAATTGAAACAATAAGGTTTATTTATTATCATCACATTTTCAAACTTCGGATTTCAACAGAAGCTCTGAAATCCGTGTACAATATATGGACACTCACAGTAAAGGGTACAGAACTATTGTCATCTCACTTAACTAAGGGCAGATAATCCAGTACAGGTTAACACAATAATGGCGGGAACTTCATTTGATAAAACTCCAACATCAAAAATAAGCGGATTTGTACGAACACAACAATTTGAAAATATTAAGATGCATATGGCAGCTTCCGTAAAGGACTCCAGCCTAGATATACTATAACATATAGTTCCAATAACTGCCAAGTTCGTGTATTTATCTGTTTTAAATGTTTAAAAAAATTAAAGCCATTGAACTACATTAATTTTCCCGAAGTGAAAACCTTTACCCAAAACAAAGAATACATAAGTTTTCTACGGTAACGCACACCTTAAAATGAGTTAGAATTAAGGAGTATAACAATATCTAGTAGTCCGGTGTGTGTTTAATGTGACATTGTGGGTTTGGCAATCCTGGTGTGTAATGTGACAGTGTCCGGGTGGACAGTACTTAGTATCCTGGTGTCCGTGTAATGTGACAGTGTCCGGGTGGACAGTACTTAGTATCCTGGTGTCCGTGTAATGTGACAGTGTCCGGGTGGACAGTACTTAGTATCCTGGTGTCCGTGTAATGTGACAGTATCCGAGTGGATAATACTTAGTATCCTTGTGTCCGTGTAATGTGACAGTATCCGAGTGGATAATACTTAGTATCCCGGTGTCTGTTTAATGTAATAGTGTCCGGGTGGTGTATGTTTAATGTGACATCATCGATTGCCATTCAGTGAGATTGCAGAATAAAGGCGCCCATGAGTTGCCACTCGCCAACAGGATGGTAAAGCATGTGGGCTGACAATATTTCAACAATCTAAGTCGTAAACAGACGATTAGTGGGATACATGTGTCGGTGTACCCTTGGGCGCATGTCCTCGTATGGCTGTTGAGAGACTGTTGAACCACTTATCTATCAATGCGAGAGGACCAAAATGGAAGACAATATCCATTCGGAATGAGAAGTAAAACAGATCGATGCATTCTCACAACTATGATAAAGTCGTTTGGGTGGCGATGAACAGTTTTAGATTTTGACATCATGCCACAAACTGACTGTCAATTTCGTTTTACTGTTTCGAACTACTGGTGACATCGTGTCACAAAAACCGTTGACAGTGTGTCACAGGTAGGAACTAAGGTTGACACCGTTTCACGGGTAGAAACTTCGGTCAACATCGTGTCACATGTAGAAATTTCCGTTGACACCGTTTCACAGGCAGGAAGGAATTTAAGTCGATACCTTGTCACATGTAGGAACTTCTCTCGGCTTAATGTCACATGAGGGAACAACTGTTGACATCGTGTTATAGGACAGAGCTTATGTTGACATCGTGTTATAGGAAAGAGCTTATGTTGACATCATGTTATAGGAAAGAGCTTATGTTCACATCTTGTTATAGGAAACAGCTTATTTTGACATCTTGTTATAGGCAACAGCTTATTTTGACATAGTGTTATAGGAAAGAGCTTACGTTCACATCGTGTGACAGGTTTTAACTACTTTTGACAATGTTTCAAAAGTAACATTTCCGTTAACATCGTGTCAGTTTTGTGTTTGTGAAGTTTTTAAAGTACTGAAAGGGAATTTTGACATCAAGGCGTGGCAATTGAAAAATAAAACCATAAGCAAAAACATAGTACAACCCATAAATCTTTGCAGTCTATTTAAACAGAAATGATTCATTCGATTAAAATTACAGAAAAAAACACAAGTTTGTAATATAATTAAGAGATTAACGTGGACAAAATTACAACATCTAAACATTGGAACAGGTGTACAGTGATCTTCGGTGGTTCCCAACGGAAAGTCGGGTGAGATCAGCTTCATACTTGTACACAATTAGACACAAGATCAGAGCGGCAAAAGCAACCATGACTGATAAAATATATCGCCCCTTTATCATGGTACACATGAGATGTATTAGCAGTTTATCTCTGGTGTCATCAAAAATATCAAATCAGTACCGTATATGTGGTACTGTGTTGTATATTAAGTCCTTGGCGTCGACATAAACAAAGAAAAAAAAGGTAACAAAACAATGAAAAAACCGAACTGGTTAGATTCCTTTCGGTGGTGATAATTCTTAATTAAGTGCGCCAAGGGAATGCATAAAACTGTCGGCAGCAATCAGCCAGGCCCATTTCTGGTTACATAAAGGGTATTTATGTGAACCTAGGATTACTACCGAGAAGCTGATAAGCAAAATTTACGAGAATACATCATCCAAATCAGACAAAAGCAAAACCTTTTTACAATTCGTATGTATATGCCTATTTTTTCCATGCAATACTGATAATGTTAAATGTGGGGTATAGGCCTAAACGCCCACTTTGAATCTTCGCGATAAGATTCGTCATCAATCTCATTATGTCGCCATTTTGTCTTGTGTGTTACAAAACAATATTAAACGGATACTTGGTTAATTTTCCATGCTCAATTCAACGAGGATAATTTTGGAAAACAGCAAAAACGAAAGCTTCGTGATTTACATAGCACATCCACCGGTAAAAATATCTTCAGAAGGGAGATAACTGTCGGCTGAACAGACACTATCATATTTTTTCTTTCGTTGTTTTGTTTGGATATACAGTTTAAGCAATCAACTAACAGTCAACTATGCGCTGTAGAGTTGTGTATCTCAGTCGGAATTCGCTTATCACGTGTACAATTGTAACGGAGAAGTACAAGAGCAATGCAAACACAACACTAAATAGGTACAGACATATTTGGAATTATCAATGGAATGAACGTAATAAAATAAAAACAGAAAAAATGAGAAAAAGGTGAAGAAACACGAATGAAATACCGGAACGAAAACGGGTTATGACCTTAATCATTTCCGTGAACGAAGTCACGTGACAAAAACGGTAAATTAAAGATAAATGTTCAATTACCTGTCGCAATAAATGTATGTACCTGATAACGATTGAGGAACACATTAAGACACCAATACTTGTAGGAGATTAGGTGTGGTAGGAACAGACAGAGTGGAAACACGCAACCTGGAAAAACACACGTACATGGAAAAGTCATTGCATGAATTGGCAGTATACGAAGTTAATTGCGAAGTTATCAAAATCGGAAACCTGTAAAACATCTAAGAGTTAGGATATAATAGCACAAAACAATGAGCAAAACTCATGCAGAAGAGACTGGGAATATATATAGGTCCAAAATGTACACAATATGTCACATATACAACTAAGCGATTAGACCTGTTCTTACAAACATTTACTCAATATGATGGCGTAACACAACGCTACATGTGTGTAAACCAAACACACGTTTATCTCACTATTGGTGTAAATTTAGATGTTTGAAGTTCATGATTCATTATTAAATATTTTCACAATATTACTGATATTATACATCATTGCACCCAAATTTTGCCGTTGGGTGAAAATAAACGCTGGGCTCAAGTTTGATGTAATGCTGAAATTAATTTGTGTGTGTATGTGTGTGTGTGGTGTGGTGTGTGTGTGTGTTCGTAAGGACAAAATCAACACTTGACGAAAATGAAATGTTTTGGAAACTGAAGTGTTAGCTTTTTCACAAAAGCCCAGTTACTTATTTTACATTTAAATGATAATACCGTACCTAGTTTTACATATGATTTGTTCTTCTTTACGTTCATAACTAAATGGGTTAAACATTAACAAGAGACACGATGGGCAAACATTGCTCACCTGGTCTTATTTGGTCTCGGTCAAAACTAGGGTGCCTGAAGGAGTTTATCACTTTCTCTTCAAATATTACATAATTCATTTGAGTATAGTATTTTTACTTAGACATTTATTTCTAATTAACAATTTGATATAGCATGAATTTAAAATTAATTTCAACAGGCATATTTTTAGTGTCACGTTTCATAAATATAGGTTATTTGGTCAATTACAAGAAGTCATTTGAAGGTTTGTTAAATATGAGTCAAGATGATTTATTTTCTCAAACTTTGTTGGGCTAAATTCGATACAGCTTCTAGCCGAATACCAAGAGTTTAGGCCTTTTGGTTGTTGGGAAGAAATCCTTTAGATGTTGATGCCGGAAGGACGGACGACGAACGGATGATGGATGACAGTTATCGCGCCACGGAGAATCAAGGTTATAATCAATCATTTTGTACAGCCTGTTCGATAGCTACATTTACAAAAGTAACATTTACACGAGTTATGGAGATTTACACACGTTTAATACATCAATGCTACAGACTTTCTGTAATTTTTAACGCTTGTCTTGAAACGACCTATTGAATTGCTGCATCTGAGACTTGTATGAAAATCTTCCGGAACTGACGTTTTGATGATATAATAGATAGCTAAATGGCAGAGTTGGTGATGTTACATTTGATTAGGTGGTTTATATGGAAACATTTGAAACTTATTATGCATCTTCAGACATTTTTATGAAACAATGACCCTTTCAAGGTCAATAAACATACTGTTTTGTTCCAATTGAATATTTTTTACATAATTTCAATCACATGATCGACTGAGTCAAATGTAGTCTCCTCTATGCAACACAGTATGTGTATCGGAACGAACAGGGAAAATGGGCGAGAGAGAAATGATTGTTCTGTACATTGCAAGATAATCTATACAAATTACTATGTACTAAAACATGACTAGAAAAACCACTATACTTAGCTTAACACTTCATCGTCTTACAAAGTATGTACATGTGTTAAGTAGGTGTGTGACCGGCAGAGATGTGTACGTTAGAATTAACACACAGATCACGTACAAAAAATGTGTTGCTGCCGTTATGAAGATACGTTGTCATTTACTTACCAAAGCAACTATAAGTAAACTGATAGGTGTCAAAACAGTCGTGAATGGACAACGGGAAATAACTCAGCCTACATCAGTATACATTTTACCAAGTCAACAGCACAACTTCCCATCTGGCGTTACAATAATGGAACACGTTAAGCTGCATTCATACTTAAACAACGTTTGACAACCAAAATCCATGACATTAACACAATTTCGTTATAAAACCTTTTTTTCTGTGAGGGTGTCACAACCATTGACGCTAAGTCGTCTATGATAAAAAAAGGGTTGCAGTAGCGGGTCACTGTCGTGTATGTGGTCCTAGGAGGACGTTTCAAGATGGTGGCATGTAAACAACCGAACACCTATGTACTGAATTTCTATATATTTATCTGTGGTTTTGAGGTTTTAGTATAAGCTTTGATCGACATCAGCACATAAGTGTAGTAAAGTTTTCAGACTTAAGTATGAACTCTTCATTGATTGTGATAAAATTTCAAATGTGTGTTGATACCCGCGCACTTGGCTCTGTGGATGTTGAATAGTGTATTCATTTAAACAAGTAACCCGTCCGAATTCAAACGATTGTAGTCAGTATGTCGATATGCAGCCTTGTTCCATCTTAAAATATTCCTTCCGTATCACGTACACGACAGTGTGGTGTAGAACAAATAAAGAAATATGATCAATTTTTTTACGCCATATTATCAACGCTAACGTCACTGAGTTGAGAAAATGAATTGAACGTAGTGGATGTGACAAATATTTATGTACTAAATAACCGTTATATGAATTTGCATCTCGACATTCTCTTTCTCCTGCCGATAGGAACGAAGGAGACATGGTACAACTATCCTTATAATGGTTTAGCATAACTATCTATATTTCTAATAGCACTATAACTAGGGTACAGTAAACCTGTCGAACTTACAGTAATGTTCATATTAAAGAGTTACGATAAACATGCTCCGTATTTCATCTTCATGTTGTGCTAAACATCTTGAATAACAAAATAAAAAACCAACAAAACGGCGCAATAACCTCGAATATAACTGGCATGTAAAAAAATCACAATTCAAATATGACTTCAACATATCTTAAAATTCAATTGTTAATGGTTAACAGATATTAAACTCTTTTTTTATTAAGCACCATACTTATATACCTACATTAAAATAATTTTTTTATCAATATTGTATGTTAAGGAAACGTGAACTTGCTCGACCATACAGTATCAATCAAACGTTTCATTAGCTGATAGGTTTTTCTTTGTATCCTTTCTCGGTTTCAATGTTCAGTGTTTATTTCCTTATTTTGGTTAAGGGAACTATTCCTATTTATATACTGATAAAAGTTTATGTAGTAAAAATTGAACACTTCTATCTACGATAAACAACAGGACGTATCTGTTGAATTCATATATCATAATTATGAAAGTACGATCCACTGGTTTCCATAATAGCACCTAGAATACATCTAATAAACATGAAACATACATAAAATATACGTATTAATAACCGCCAGATTTATAAATTGGACTTAGACTAAAATACATGATAAAAAAGCAACAAACGTTTCAAAAAAAAACATTTGGGTTGACATATCAGTTTTAAAAACTTTGGCATAAACACGCGGCCACAAGCACGATCACAAAACATGGTAAGCAACATCGGTAATATGTTTCCTGATGCAAAAACGAGGAAAGTTTTGAACTTCCATGCACAAATGATTATACAGAAACACGATTACATCTGTAACTATTCTAGGAATGGAGTTTCTGCCCTTGATGAAGGGAAACCTATCACACCAAGCGTGGCCAAAAACGGTACAAAACTACTTAATTTAAGGTAAAGATACGGATAGCTAAAGAATACAAAAAATGCTACAATAGCAACACAGCATTTGATGCCATGTGAGAGAGGAAAATATTAAAACACATAGAAACTTAAGGGTTAGTGCCATCCATCAGAAAGAACTCGCTCGAACATATCGACTTCTTTCTTTTGATATCAGTCTCGATTCTCTTTGTGGACGGACATCAAAGCTAAACAATAATAAACACTTGTCTCTCTCTAAATATGCAGTATACCTACTTATATAACCTTCTCATGATTAACGTAGTATACATCAGTGATCAATGCCATTTGTCAGGAGTGTGTCCTCCAAAATGGACGACCTCTTCTTTGGAATAAATCTAGGTATGCACAAGTATATACAGAAACACTACGCATCATTGCAACTAAAATTAGCATTTTGTTGCATTGAAAGTTCCAGTTTTCTCTCCAGAAAGGCGATTCTCTCTTTCAAACAATGGTTTTCATATTCCAACTCAAGCGCGCGTTTGTAAAAATTCCGCTCCTTTTCTTTCTTTGCCTCTCTGGAACGTCGAGCAGAGTCATTGTTTTTCTTCCTTTTCTCCCAATATCCGTTATCTTTCTGTTCAGATGGGACGCATGCTTTTTTCCGTTTACATATCACTTTTCTTGGTTTGTAACCAGCCACTGTCACACCACTAGTGATCATTTGGTTGACGTTGATATCTACCGGTGCGCAATAACATTGCCAATCAGGCCTACTTCCGTTTCCACCGCTTTGGCTGCCGTCCGTTCCGCTTGCTTTCGAATCACTGTCGTCCGATTCCACTAATTCGAATGGTCTCTTTTTCCCGGAAAGGTCTACGGACGACCCTCCCGGCGTCTGTTTCCCGCCAATGCTGCCTCCTCCGACTCCATTATCCAAGGATTTGAAAGACTTTGGTGAGAACTGTTCGCCCAGTACATTACTATGGACATTTCTGGACTGATCAAAATTCGGAGTAGAGTTAACAGCACATGGACTCCATTTATTTGTATCGCACGTTTCCGCTTTCACGGCAATGTTATAATCGGGATACTTTTCATTGCCGTAAGTTCCATACTTATGACGATACTGGTCCTGCACTGGTTTCAAGGTACTACTGCCGGACACAAGTCCATTTTGACCATGAGCCTGGTCACCATTGGTGGTGGTAGTGGTGGTATTTAAGCTGCCATTGTGTTGGACAGGTCCGTATCCATTATTTTGTTGTGGAATATACGGGTAGTTATTTGAAAATGCTGATGTGTGGTTTTGCATCTGCCAACAGTCAACATTTGGCGGGAAGTTGTTGGTTTCCCGCTCGTTCTTGGCGCTTGAAGATGAAGTGACAGAGTTGTCGGGCCATGTGAACGGAAGCTCATTGCATTCATTATCCATTAAAAGTGCCCCGGCCATCAACTTTGAAATGCTGGTGTTATCCTCAAACTGTGCCGCAGACATTCCTGAAAAAATAAACACAAAAGAAAATATAAAATAATTGTTTCATGTTGCTGTTTTGAGCTAATCAACTTGCGCATCCATTAATAAAGTATTGCAAGAAGAACGTGGATACTCAAAATCACAAAATTAATATGTAACGATCTACTTGGTTTCCTTTCGATAACATCGATCGGCTGTATACAAAGGTAGTTACTCAACTCTTTCTTGTCTTTTCATTCGCTAACAAGGAATTGCTTAATATTGAAATAGAAATCAGCATCGACAATACAACACGTGTGACATGTGTCTCTTGCTTTACAACAACATGCTTGTGCTGAACAAATACAGCCTTGGACGTCGTCAAATGATCCAAGATGTGACATACGTTAATTAATACAAAAAATGGATCAACAGTATAACAGCCAGGAAGTTTGGCTAAGTTGTATACTAGTTAAAACCGTTATGAGTATTTGATATACAAATGCTGGTACATATCAATTTGCATATTCATAATGCCGAACTCAATACTACTTACAGTTTCACACATTTCTCATGAAGCTTGAACATATGATAGCAATACATATATATATATATTCCTAGTATGCAGAATTGATTAATTAACTATACTTAGAACGAGTCTGTCCTCAGAATCAACAGTACCTGTAACACATTGGTATAACACCATCCCTGTTATTCGTCCTGATACAAGTGCGTTTAGCCTCCAACATGTAATAGTAGTTGGATTAAGTTTGTTGGTCACACCTGTACTAAGATATTAAGTGTAAGAGATGGTAGTGATATAAACTGAGGTGTCACAGCAGAATTAAGTTTGTGATTTTGACAGGATTCTTGTTACAGATGTATAATATACACCCGAGAGCAGAATTTACACCCAAGTGTATGTAGTATTTATATTAATTCGCGTTAGACTTCAGTAAAGGACGGTCTCTTTAATCTGTCGCCTCTTTACAGGTATATATGCAAAACAAGAAACAAAGCATGATTTCTTAAAGTATATGTGGCATGTACAAAAATATCAACGTTAAAAGGATGGTTTTGAATAACTTTAAATCTAAATATGTATATTTATCAACTTATAATATATACATACCATGGATGTGCCTAAAGGGTTCCCTTGGGAAAACGAACATAGTTTCTGATGCCTACAGCACTGAATCAGGATTTATGTGTCTGTGTACTGCTGACAAACTCAGTCTTCGAACTTAATTGCAACCGTATTAGCCTATTAGTGGAAATAATTTATTATACATTTGTATTCTTTTATCATAAACTATTTAAAAGTGTTAACCTTTCTTCAGAATTCAGTTAATTAGTTTCTTTAAAAATACATAATCCCTTCATCTCCTTAGCGGAAGATATAATTACTATCAAAAGAAAAGTACGTTACCTCAGAGCCTTTCTAGTAAATCATGCGTTTTTCGTGTAAGCTACATCATGTAAATTAAATAAAAGCTTGTCATAATTAAAACCGATAATTGAATGTCTTAAATATAAATTCTTAGCGATCGATCTATCACCCGAGATTTAATGCTTTGCCATTGTTATGTATCTTGTTTGGGAGTTAAGAAATATCCGTTTGTCAGGAATGTATAAAGAAAAGGTCCAGCCCATGGAGTCAATAGAACGATTGTGATATCATAAAAGCATAGAGCTAGAAATTGAATTTTTTATATAGCCTCGAAATGCTTGGAAAAAACAAAAAGCATTTTCATGTTTCTACTTTATATTAATTATGCGGGTCTTTGACGGGGAAGAAACCAGTAGTCTTTTATTGATAAGCAGATCACAAGACCGGGCACATGTCTTTTTAACCCCCCCCCCCCCCCTCCCCTCCGAAAGAAAGGGACAAGCCGTAAACCTCATTTACCAATTCTCTCGCTGGTATGTTGATTTTGCTGGGTAGGCAAACAATTTCAAAAAATAATTCTGAAAGCATGTACTCGTGTATACTAGGAATTATACACGGATAATAAATGGAATTGAAAATAGAATAATAATGCCAATTTAACCATTAAAACATTTCTTCATTTTTTAAAATTCTGTTGTGAACTAATAATTTGTTTGTCTCACAGGCAATAACTTGAATTTAGGAAAGCACCAATGAATCTCGCATTGAAGTTGGAAGGTGGGGAGGTGAGGAGGGGAGGGGGAGGGGACAAATTATCTCCCTTTGATTTTAACAGTTGACTGACGCACACATGCAGTAGACATGCTTTTTAAAAAAGCAGACAGACGCGACGTCAAACAGCGCATGTATCGTTTACAGATCGAGGGTCTGGCCTTGACATACATTCTATATAATATGTGCTTTTGTACACACAACCGGTCGGTTGTTCACCTCTGACTGTTAGGGGACGCATATTTAGAGAGAATTTGATACAAAAAAATGTCCGCAGCTGTACTTGAAATAGAACATGATTAAAATACAAGTATTTGATTTCATACTGTATTTGGTGATACTGAATGCATTTTGTCAACCTTCTGAGGTAAGATTGTGTTTTCGCAAGTATTATAAACTCTCAACCGTCAGTCATTGACTGACTGTAGGATTACCGGCTTAGTCACTCAAACGCAAGCCAATTGTGGTGAAGCTGATTTCAAAACTAACATTTCTGTAGTATCCTGGTGATTGAAGTGAAAGGATTTGTATATATTAAACATCGTCACATGCACAAATCTGTTTTATCATTATTTTACTTCTGTATTCACTAAATGTATCTTGCTATAATTATCTGTCGACATATTTCAACATTTACGACCTGTGTATGTGTATGCAATGTATGACTTTCATTCTACGGTATTATATTCCAGTATTGTATAATTGACTAACATACACCATTTAGTATATATTCCGGTATATAGCAATGATCAGAACAGCCAAACCTATGCAAATGTATACATGGAAATTGTTAGTCGGTGTTTATATAATACCCCGACATTTCTAATCATTGTCTCAGATAGTAATTAAGATTGATGAAAATACACAAACATAAAGAAAAAGTTCTATTAAATTCCAAAATAGAAATTCTCATTTATTATATGTTAAAAACGAATGAAACTAATTTAACCTTAAGTATTCGTCCTAAAAAGGAAACTAGTTTTTAACCTAACGTTGAGGTTCTTGGAAGTTTTTATTCTAACGGATTACTAAACGTCATTTGGAGTTTATTTATAGAATACGTGATTGTGTGACAACTTGTTCCCAATCTTTTTGTACTTTTTATCATTATAAAATATGTTTAGCCTACACAATGACAAACTATTCTAGTAACTTCCACCTGCTTCAAAAAATAAATCTGAATTGGTGTTATCTTGTTGAACTGGTGGTCAGAATATTCCGCGTGTGTGACCTAGATGGGTGGCCAGCAGACTGGCATGAATCCCCAAGACATTGACCAGTCGAAGTTGCCGTGGAGATGATGGATAGAGTCGGAAGACCCAGACACTGAGTTAGTCAATAAAATTACAGGCTAACACTGTCCTAGCGCCTTTACTCAGACAGCGGGTATAGCGGAAGTTGGTGATCACTTTTGTTTATATTAATTAAGATTCCACACAATTCACATTTAGGACGATATACGTGTCAAACGTGTCGTTTAAAACTAAAATAAAGTTACCGTAGTTTTTAATGTGTCCAGATTTTATGTGAAAACCGCAAATTGATTTCAAATGGAAATTGTCTATTTCTTAGTCAAATTCAAACAGAATATATCTACCATTTTCACTACATGCTGATATATTTCATAAAATGATCAAAATTTTGTTCTCACAACATATTTAGTGGCTCCTTCGGGGAGGGATTCAGAGTTCCAAATTTAGTTTCATAATATATTTATTTTTAGTGAAAATTGCCATGAGCAAGATTAAGATTTGAGATTCTGAAAGCAAGAAACCCATTATTGACCTGCCAATGACAATCTGATATCATGAAGTTCTAAATGTAGTAATTTGCAGACAGTTATAGGGTTGATGTACCATACCATTCCTCAACCGTAACATGTTTTTAGTCTCTTTAAACTATATACGACATAGAGCTATTTTGTGGGAAACACCCGACATGAACACTTCTGTAGAATACCACAGGATGATTTAAAAATTCTGATTTTATTCAATGGGTTCTAACACGTTACTTTCACTACAAAAGACCAGGTATTTAAGAATTTCTGACCAGTTCTTGAAATTGTGTTCTTACAATGGGCCGTTTAAATGTTGCTCTAGGTCTATGTGAAGTTCTAAAATAAATAAACTACAGGAATATTACAAATATTAGAAATATAAAATGTGTAAGCCTCGAAATGTATTTGTTAATATATAGTTTCACATTACCTGATGATCGATTTTCAAGTGTAGACATTTGGATAAATAATTTTGATCTTGGCAATTTCCAAAATTTTTGAGTTGTCTATAACTTATAGATACCTGGCCCATCAAATGGACGTCCGAGAAAAAAACTGGTTATTCTGATTACAAATATATATACTTCTCTGATACAAGACAGACATTTGCATGTGTAGTTTAACTTTACCTATACGTTTTTCTATACCCTAACATATATATATATGTGTTAGTATATTAAAACCGAGTATGAAACAATGATATCAGCGATAAATTTCTGGTTGGAATATAAACATCCAATGCCAGTTGTAAATTGGTAAAAAAGGAAGCTGTTTGTTCCTGGCATCCTAACAACATTAACATATCAACTCTGAAATCAGTGCATTACTTAATATAACGAATACATATTTTATATTCCACCGAGTTGCGCGTTAATTTTTTTAGAAATAAGATATATTTTCAATTTTTAAATCCATTGTAACTCCTATTTTCAAAATGCAATCACCTAAATAGCATGGCCATTAATCCATTTGATATACTTTTAAACGACTTTTAAACGTATAAGACGGATTTTAGAGTTTGGCCATATTTACGAAGTGTCAGAATTTTATTCCTTAAGTTGAAACTTTGTGTAAAATGTAAACAAAAGTGTCAACAATTTGTAAATTAATCCAGACAAGACAACAAATAATTGTCTAAATGATTATCTAGAAATATACAGGAATTTTATCAGACCTTAACGCACCCGTCTAGTTTGGCGACGCGCTGTTGTAGCCAGGCGATGCCCCAAAGCTCAAGCGAGCCATCCGCAACGCCGGGTGTGACTGGGTAGCCAGTGTCCCGTATTCCGTGACCTTTTCCAGCCTGCAGCGATGGACAGTGTCGATCTGAGAGTTATGTCCCCTGAATGGTGGTACGATTGGACTAAATCGCCTTTGTGCAATATTTGAACATTTGAAAACCAATTAATGTTATCGGAAGATTGTTTGTCAGGGAAATTTTCATTCTGCTAGAGTCAATAGGTATTAATTAACAGTATAGAGAAAATATTGAAGAAAATTAGTTTTTTGGAACTCTTTTGTGTTGAAAACATCAATTATTGCAACAATGGCCGACATCGAAGCCGGCAAAATCGAAAACGACAAAGACAAGAATATTATTGATGGAATGAAGGACGATAGACGAACAATAGAGGTATTAATAGATTTTGCACATGAGTTTTGATGTTTAGGGTCATTAAGGAAGGAACTTTGGGTCGTATATGCCAAGGAAAATGTGCAAAAGTGAATCCGTTCTTTGTTTACCATACATTTTTTTCTTCAAAGTGACGCTTCTGAAAGTGTGAGGTTCTTATGTGTTATTGCTTACTACACTTCTCTTCAAAAACTATGTTCCATCGTTAAATGGTAAAACAGACATCGAATGTCTCAGAATAAACATTTCTTTACAGTAAGTAACGATTAGTGATGATTGGTGATAGGATACACACGAAACAATTTATCACATAACCACCCTGTTAATGTTATCCGTGTAGTAACATTCATTGTATAAATTGTGTTACGACCACTCGCATGATAATACTTACAGAATCTACGATTGGCTGAGGGTTCTCACTGTATCAATGGTGATGAAAATTTCATGTTCAGATCGTTATTCAAAGCCGTTGTTAAACCACACTTAAGAGTATGCAGTAAGGGTATGGAGTCCGTCTAGTGTTGCAGATATCGAATTGATCAAGAAAGTACAAAGAACGACTACAAAGCCAATCCCCAGGACTTAAGAACTTATTGTACAAGGAATGCTCGAAGAGATTAATCTCTTATGCTTCAACATTGCAGAATGAAAGGGGATACCATAAATGTTTTCAGAATTGTGAAACATATTCATGATATGTTAAGTTGAACAAGGGGTCATTCAGAAAAGGAAAAAAAAACCTGTTGTAACCTGGATATAAGAAGAGTTTTCTTTAGCCACAGAATATAGTAAATATATGGAACAATTTACTGCAACATATCATAGATACAGAAACATTTACCATTTCAAGGTATTGTTTGATGAACACTGAAAATAGTCATTGTAATGTTTAAATTCTAATTCAACAGTTGGCTCTGCAAAGCTTTTGTACTTGAGGATATAAATTTACTTGCTGTATATATATTGTTGATATGAATAAAAAGGCTTTTAGCCTGCATCCATTAATTTTCCTGATAGATCCTAATAAATAACATCGCCCAAGAAAGCCTACAAAGAAAAAAATATCACTGGATTGATTTGACATCTGTCTTATAAAATACTGGTTTAATGCACGTCTACAAAAGTATGAAAGTTATAAGATAAACATCATATTACTTTTTCCATTCCATTTGAGACTCATAAAGTTCTAGACCAAGTCATTTCACTTTGCCATCTGGCTTGGTAAAATGAAAACTGTTCAGATTCATTTCGTTACTCAGAGGACATGGAAACTCGTGAAAGACCCTTTCTTTATAACATCAACAGAATAGGAAGTTCTTTGCCTTTCTGAGATTTGATATTAAACAATTGTCCTTGATGCACCCCACCTTAACAATCCAAATGACCAAATCAGTGATCAGTATATGGTAGAAGCAGATTTAAATTCATTTCTCAAATTATGCAAATTATGCACTTAAGTATTGCAAAGCATATGGAGCTTACAAACACAGGTTGTATGAAATGCAGATCATTTAACTTAATTCAAGGGAGAAAACTCTAACAAACTATTATGCTTAGCTGTGACCCAGACTTGTAGACATGCAGACCATTTTCTTTCTTCTTTTTTTTTGTTTTAGTCCCCTGCTGGTGAAACCAGAGGGGCTATAGTGTTTATTTCCATCTGTCTGTCCATTTGTCTGTATGTCTGAATGTTGGTTTCAAGATGATGGATGATAAGTTGAGAAATGATGGATGGTCTACAATGAAAGACCATATAATGTTAGCTTATGAGTTAATACAGAGTGGAATTGAAATTGGGGTTGAAAGGTCAGCTATGAAGGTCACTGTTACTAAAAATGATTTTTTTTGGTCATGTTTTGGTTTCCAGATAATAAATTTGGAAAGGATTTTAACTTGATGCAATGTAATATTATATGGATGGTCAAGTGGCGCAGTGGTAACACACTCGCCTTTCACCTAGCCATCTGGGGTTGAATTCCTGGAATGGATGTGGAAAGGTATAGGGTCACCTGCCTGACCATGTGGGTTTTCCCCAGGTACTCCATTTTTCTCCCACACTAAGACCTCTCGTGCGCTTCCATCCGAGCCAACAAGAGTGATTAATATAAGTTCGAAAAACTTGCTTCGCAATTGTTGTAAAATAAATAAAGATTATTATTTTACACAAAGGTAGGTCCTTTCTGACATACAGTATTAAGCACAATGGAGTGCATATAAAGCTTTTCTCCAGGTTATTTGCTTATTTTTGCATCATTCCTGTCAAGACACTGGTTTTTTTTTAGGGAAGACTTTCAATTGTTAAAATGAGACATCTGTTCATTGCCCTCAAAGTCCATGTTGCTTAAAAAAATTAATTAATAACAAGGGACAAGTGTTGCATGCAACACTAATTGTAAGCTTGTTTGTCGTAAATCCCTTTTCTCTGCATTATATAAAAATGGCAAAATTGCATCATTTTTTCCTTTTCAAGGCTTAAAACTTCCTGTTTCTCCACTGGAATGCTGCTTCCAGTTTCCAGACCATCTCAAATAATACATTTTGGAATGTTACACTTATTGGAGCGAGAGTGGTTTTGTTCTGTTTCTGGAGTACAGACTAATTTACTACTTGAAAGCTTCTTTTAATTGCATGCCACCCAAAACACTTGAGAACTACACTATTAATACATTGATTTCATGAAGTGCAAATTTTCAGAAAAGGTTTTCAATTACTATTGAATGTAAAGTTAGGTTTTGACTGACTTGCAAACCATACATACTTTCCAAGGACCAATTTTTCACCACATTAGAACAATAGTGTTACCTCTATTACAACTTAACAGTTTGTATTTAGTATCTTTCAGAAGGTTAGAGTCTCCTGCAATATTTCTTTATTTCAATGTAATCAGATTATCATTTTAATCCAGCAGCATAAGTGCAGGTTAGTGCGGCTTGTACATAGTGTTAAAAAGTCTCAGTCACTCAATTGATGGAACATGCTTCCCTGGCTTATTTGTTAGAGCCAGGTGATTAGCACACCAGGGAACTGGGTTTGATTCCTGGTCAAGGCATTTGACAAGAATATGAGTTTTTCCTGTTCATTCCCATTGGTATCCAATGAAATTCCACCCATTGTGGTATATTGAGTCTCGGGTTGAAAGGTTTAGGAAATCTAATAAAAATATAGGGGGTAATGTAAAAGAAAGCAGGTGGGTGTGGCTTGTACATAGTGTTCAATGTGTTCTCTGTCACTCATCACAAGGATCAAGTTTCTTTGGCTCAGCTTTGATTCTGAGTTAGGGCACTCAACAGGAATGTGTATTTTCTCTGTTTTTTCACAACTGCAAACACTGAAATGTGTATATGTCTACATGCACCCTTTAAAACTATTTGTAAATGTAGATTGAAATTTTCTTTTGTATAAAATATCTATTGTGATTTAAGTAATTATAATGCTTTGAAATATAAAAACTAGCAAAAAGAATGATTAAATTTATCATTGTCTTGATATCTTGGTTGATTCTCTCTTTATTTTAGGATACAACACAGCCTGCTAGTGCTGCAGTCAGTCATCATCAAGAGGTCAATGAGAGTAGTACAGATCAAGATCCATGTATCGGCATGTCTGAGGAGAATAAAGATGTCAAAGAAAAGGAAGAGGGGCTTGATCAACCTTTGTCAGATAGTGGCCCACAACAAATGTGTTCGAGTCTTGAATTAGGAGACACGAGAAAAGAACAATCACACAATTCAGAAGTAGATCAGTCAAAAGGACTTAATACAGAAATAACAAACAAAACAACGGAGTTAGAACAATCAAAAGGGCTTGAAGTAATGGAAAAAACTATGGGGGCTAGTTCAGAAATAGAAGACTTGGCTGAAAGGAACAGTGTAGAAATAATGGACAAAACAAGTGGGGCTATGATAGAAATAGAAGACAAATCTGATGAACCTTGTACAGAAATAACAGAAATTGATGAGGAGCCTTTCACAGAAATTAAACATCAAGACGAACCAACTGGTGAAATATCACTAATGGAAGGTGAAAATGTCGCAATAAACAAAAGTATTCCTCAACCTGAGGTTACAGCTTTAGAACAAAAATTTATCAACAAGGAAGAAAGTATGACAGAACAGCGTCAGTTGAGTAAAGAAGTTTCACCGTTAATGTTACATGAACAAGAGAAAGAAAGTCAGCCAGAAGAACAGAACAAAGATGATGTAGAAATGACAGATGATTCTGAATTAAGGCATCCTGCTTCGGAAGCTGCAGTCAAGATTGTCTGTGAGGATCAACTATTGAAGCTACCAAAAGACATACCTGTGACTAGTGTTGATCAGGATAAAAATAGCAAAGACATGGAAAATATTGATCCACTCAGGGACGATTCAAATAAGAACAGTGATGTTGTGTTAGAGGATTTAAGTTCCTCTCTTGAGTCTAAAAAAGAACATTTGGAAGGTACTAATCAGGTAAACGAGACTGATCCTAAAAGTGGTCTGATTTCTGCTGACACCTTACAACTTCGTATGGAAGTAGATAATGAATCAGTACAATCTGAGACTGCGATGTATGATACAACAGGACCCGCAACTCCAGCCTCTAGCATCGTAGACACAGGCTCAGTGTCTGCAGGCCCTACACCGTCAAAACGGTCACGCCAGAACAGTACCGGTAGTGGCGCTAATGTAGAAGCTGTTTCTGATGATTTGGAAAAGTGAGTCTGATGTTATTGCTGGAGTTATCTTCCTTATAACATGTTAGCTATCATTTGTGAAATAAGTCTTGTGTGATACATATGAATATGTCTTTGTATGATTCATCCATTTATTCAAAGAAAGTGAAGAGTTACATGTAATAATCAGAAATTTTTGTACAAAAGAATGAGTCCAGGACTCAATTATCTTGTCCCAAAAACTCAGTGATGATATTATATTGATATTAATTCCTTCCTTGTAGCCATACATTTCCAGCCTCAAAAGTATTTGAGTACCAGTGGCCGAAAGATTCTAGTGGAGAGTACTACATGCTACAGGAGCAGATTAGTGAGTTCCTGGCTGTTAAGTCATTCAAGAGAAAATACCCAGGTATGTTGAATTATATGTAGACAGTTTAAAAATTCATTGTTAATTATGGTATGATATTTAAACTTTTTTTTTCTATTATTTCACTTCAGTTTCTACATCTATTTTTATATCTTGGATTACTTTCTCATTTTTATGTCATTTAAAGGCCTCAGCATCTCAATTATCCAATGGCAGAATACATTATAGGTTTCTTAAAAAAATACCATCAAAATTCATAGAGAGTTGAATAAGATATTACAACAATAAACTGCCTTGATGGAACTTTGCTATGTATTTTTGTGAAATAGACCTTGATTTCTTCACCATTAATACATGTTACAAGATGTCTTTATTTTGGTAACAGAGCTTCAGAGGCGACCAGTGGAGATGAATGAACGAATGTTTTTGCGTGAGAAGGGAGCAGTAACTGAAACACAGTGTGACCTAGGTAAGACTGCTGTTGTTGTACTGTACATGTGTGATTTATTAACATATGTATCCTGTAAATAAGCCCAGGGAGCAAACACAAGAACTTGAACTAATACTGAACTAAAGTCTGATGCTCGAATATACCCTGATATGGAACTAAAGAGACGTTCTCCCTACCCAAGCAGTATATTGTGGCTAGTATTTACCAAGATTACATACACTCTCCCTCCAGGAAAGAACTCATCCTTGAGTTTCCAGGGGTTACAGCAATGCTTGCAGAGCATGTTTAAGTATCATTCTTGGGTCCCTACATAGGCATCAGTGTAACAGAGGTCATTATTTATTTCAATGCCTCAGCTAGGATTCAAACGTGGGACCCCTGGCTGACTAGTCTGACGCTCAACTGATCGAGCAAAAGAGAAGTTCTCTCTAATCTAGCTGTATGTTATGGCAAGTATCTACGAGGGTTAACATAATGAACTGCAGTAGACATTGATGTGGGCTGATTACCAGGCATGGACTCGTGGAGGATGATTATTGTGATGTTTGATATTGTTTGACTCCTTGATAATGTGAGACAAAATATCGATCTCAGGATTGAAGAATGTCAGACTCTGATGTTGTCATGTTCAGAATTATTACTCTCTCCCCCATCCCACTCTGTGTTTAGTATTTCTTTTTGCTATCAAGATATTCTGGTCCTGAAGTGTTCTGTCATTGTCTCTGCCAATTATAATAATACCCTGCAAAACACATTTGCCGGGGATATTAATTTGGGCTCTGTCTGTGTATGCGTGCGTATGACCATGGGCCCTTCCGGGCTATAACTTAAAATCTTTTCAATTGAACTTGACAAAACTTGAAGTAGATATTAAGTATTTGTCCTACTTGTACCTATTGCTATTGACAACATTTCATTTTTTATATTTTTTGTGTTACCATGGAAACACAACCAAAAAAAACCCCACAAAATTAGTGTTTACTTTCCTTTCCAGGATACACCTTCAATACAAATTGGTATACCAGTATATATATATGTATGTATTACATATATCATATTTGGGTTTTACACCAACAGCTGGGTGCAGGGGATAATGCTACACTTTACGGGTCCTTGTTTACTACGAACACTGTCTCTGATGATAGTTAGAATATCTCCTTGCTTGTTGTTTTTTTATCACACACCACTGACAGGTTGATGAATTTTCATTCATTGAATGCAAACGATCATTGATGGAAAGAAAACATATATCTAACCCTTACATGTATGTAAGTCACTGAAAGGTTTTAGTTTCAATCAGTGATTTTCTCAGCATCTTCAATTTTTCATCTTGTCTACTTGGAATCTTTTTCTTCTAACAGCTGATAGCCATTTTCAAACTTTGCTAGAAACTTGTATTATTAACTTAACTTGTAAGAAATAAGACAATAGGTTAGATATGCAAGTTTTGATTAATGAAAGGTATACCACTTGAATGTAGGAGTGTATGGCTCATTAATGGAAATAAATCAATGTTGAAAGGTTTTCAATTTACTGTGGAGAATTTTAATGAGATAAGGTTCGAAAGATCATTGTATTGCCTAAAGAAAAACAAAAATATCAAGATATCGTTTTCCTATTTGCTGATTCAGTATCTAAGATGACTATTTGATTTCTGATCGGCTTAGACATTTGTTGGCACTTCAAACACCAAATAAAGAACCCTTGATCAAGTTTTGAATATTGAAACATGCTGATGTTTTATCTATATAAAGAATCCAATATGGCTACCTTAAATTTGGACTGGCATTTAAAACTATTCTCAGTTCCCCCAAGCAAATTTTAATCAACATGAAAATCCTTGAAATACCCTGACAGTGTGGTACATACATATAATGATGACATGGTTGGGTAGATAATGTACCATCAGAATCAATTTCTCTCCTGGTTTGGATAAATAAAAACTTGTTTATTAGTCTTCTTATAATTTTTTGTGGCTTTTTCTGTCGGAAGACGGGAAATTTTTTGTCTCGCTTGCAATGAAATGTTGCGGAAGGGCGACTACGACATTACTTTTCCAGCTGTGACAGCAACATCTACAGTTCACTTTCAAGTTTATGCTTTTAGATCTGTGGCTCTAAAAGTACAAGTTTATAACTTTATCCTTCTTGGTATATAGCTACATAACACACCAGACAACAACATATCCATTGTTGTTCAAAATATCTTTTAGATTTTTTAATCCTGCAATTCTGAAAACTAGAGATGTGGAAAATTTGTATTTCAATGTTTCGCATTTAGCTCATTTCTTATTATATACAATTGCTATTGCAATAAAAAATCATAAATTTTGTACTTTGCTTAAAATCACTTTACTAAATACTTAACAAAGTGGAACAGACAAGACATAATTTTGTGCAATTCTTGTTTATTTACCTATTGTTACCTTTCACATTCTTTGATTAATTTCAGGTTCTTTTTTTAATCATCCTTCTTTTTATTGTTTGTCTGACTGTCATCTGTCTGTCATCTGTCTGTCATCTGTCTGTCCATTGTCTCTCCTGAAACAATTCTTGTTATCACCGTTTCTTGAGAAGCATTGAATAAATCTTTCATGAATATCTTATGGAGTTTACCTTTAGTGCTTAGCTGTGCCTAACTAGTTTTCAGACTGATTAGAAAGACAAAATGGCAGATAGGTGGCCATCTTGGATTTTTTAAAAGTTGATATGCTTGATTTTGAGGTCATACATCTTTATACTTCAATATGCTGGCAGCTCCCATATGGAGAGGAAATTTAGAAACAGATGAGTTTGAATAAGAGGTGTTTTCAATCTGTAAACCTTATAACTATGTCATGTATTCCCCGACGTCCAGGGACATGGCTTTATTATATATTATATTATATAATGTTATATTTTATTATATTATATAATATTATATTATGTTATATAATAGTCATATAAAAACCTGTTTCAGAAGGAAGTTGTAATCTGTCAGTAGGTAATTGAATTGCTTTGTAATTAATGAAACCGCCAGGATTTCTTCATCAAACCTTTTATTTATAATATCCAATAAAAGAACTCAGTCAAATGAATAAACAGAATAACCTGACAATGATGATTTTATATTTTGTAAACACCAATCCAAGTAAAATACTGCATGACAAACTAAAAACCACCAAATGTGTACCTGACTGATGACTTCCATGAAATTTCATAGCAAAATTCAGACAAGATGATTAGATGAAAATAACACTGTTCATGTCAACCAAGTAAAATGAAATAGTGATTACTTTATGAAGTATCAATAGAAGATAAATATTATCAGATAATGTCCATAGTCCATTTCTCAAGTAAAGAAATATTGAAATGGCCTGGGCTGTGTCATTACATTCACAATGAAAATAAGATACTACACAGAAAGAAGAAAGAACAGGAAAGAAAGGAAAAGATCAACTGTACATTTAACTAATGAAGGTCATATCATGGGATGGGGGGTATAAAGATTCATCTGGAATATCTTGTTTCTTATACAATATCACCATGTTAGCTATTTGTTTGTAAAGTTATTTAGGAGTTGATATCAAGTAGTCTTTTTTATGTATAATATTTTTAGTTAGAGGGCCATTAAGTATTCAACATTGAAATCTGATCAACAACATTAGAGGTGTAAAAGATTATAAAAATAATCATTTTAATTATCAGGATTTGCTATAATGGAGACAAGCAAATAATTATTGCCTGTTTATTTTGATAATAATTCTGTAAATTCTAAAAGGCTGGAATACCAAATAAATATAAATAGTAAGGGAATACTTTCTTATTGTTTATCTAATGTAAGACAAAACAAACTTAATAAACATATAATCATGAGAAGAATATAAACATTAGCTGACTATCACAGTGAAATCTATATCAGCAGAGGACAAAGCCCAGAAGAAAACTTTATATTACATGTGTAAACTTGCCAATTTTTTTGAATATTTTTAAGTATATACCTCATATGGACTAACTAACATCTGAAAAGAAAAAAGGTCTGCTCTAACTGGCTGAGCTATTTTACAACGGCAACTTTTTTAGTTTTTTTTTTTTAAAGTTTATGTATTTATGAGACACCATACACATTTATTTTTAATTTCATAAATAATGAAAGAAAGGCACCCCTTTTTCCTTTCTAGAAAGGTTTCATAGCTGACACATTATACATTCTGTGTAAAACATCTTTTGTTATTTACACAAAGTTACAAAGTTTTCAAAAGAAAAATGTCATATTGTAATTAATGTTGAAATTTCAAAAGTATGAAAAAATAAACTTTATACAATGATTAACACCTAAATCTAAAAGAAAAAAAATACAATTCAAATTAATGCACTGTTAAAACAATATTCAAACATAATAAAAGAAAAATATTTTACTGTTATTTATGCAAAAATTCAGAAAGTATTAAAAAAATGAATGGTTACAAAATGTATCAAAATATAGGCAAACATTTAGAAACTAAAAAGACCAATCTTAAAATAGTTTGGCTTGAGATAATTTTTCATTCAATATTTTTATCGTAATTAAATCATAAATCTAAAAAAAATAAGAAAAACAGGTTTCATATAAAGTCTGTATACTTTGTCACGATATCAGAGTTTCACAAATATTGAGAAAATAGTTCAAGACACACTTTTTATGAAAATTTACACTTATATCTAGAATCAGAGAAAAGGCACACATCGCATCATGATTAAGAAGTCTAGATGATGTATTATTGTTCTAAAACTAGAAAGTCTTCCTTACCGTGCATGTCATAAGTAAAGTTGGGTTGGAATTCAGAAGCCATCATGTATTGCAATGGTGCCCCTCTGTCATTGGTTACTGATGGTCAGTCAATACAATGCCAATTCCATGCAGCAACTTTAGGTAATAGAGGCAGTGGTGACAGTTGATTGGTCATAACAGACAGTTGCTAGGGATGCTTGCTAGTCACATGATGTTGACGTTGATTTCATAGAAATTAATCTATTTAAAGTGCTCAAACATTTTTACTTTAACATATCATCTTAAGTTTTTTGTAATTCTGTATAGAGTGGTGTCCGGGTGTTTTACAGATATTGATGTTGTATGTCAGGGTCAAATCCTCAGTTTGATTGGAGTAGATATTTACGTTCTCAAAATTGACTCGGATATGTTTATTGACTAAAAATAAAATCGAAGTGTTGATAAAGAATGAAATAAATTTTGTAAACATGAAACATGGATATGGTCATCAACATCACAGAACATTTACCTTACAGAATATAGTGATTGATTAAGGTTATATGATGCACATCTGATTAACACTCCAGTCATCACACCTGTTCTATAATCCTGGCAATTTAAGTAAAACATCTGACACTTTATAGCTACCAGTGTCATTTGTAGGATTAAGGATTACATTTTCAACACAATCTTTAGGTTAAAAACAAACTTAAAGAGTGCCAGTAATGCTCACCTGCCTTTCAACAAAATAATCACAAAATATTTCTAATTTGAATTAGATCTGACAAATTAAAGAGATTTTATTCCCTTGACCTCCTTTACCCCATCCAGAGGAGAGGACAAACCCTCCATTCATATAAAAACAACATATTTTGTAATGTCAAACTGTCATATTTATAATGAAAGAAGGATTCTGAAATATTCTATTTATCATTTGGGGGCTATGATATTCAAGTAACTCATCCTCTATTAACATTTGAGGATATGTTGTATCAAATTCTGGGCTCCCGTAGAGAAGCTAGATACAGTTCAAATTTTGATTGGCCGTTATGATGTGCCTTTATTTAATTCTCTGTAGTGTATTTCTTTGTTTGGTGTATTTTGATACAAAAATCAATATACAAGAGTAATTATGACTTATTATAGATTAATGAAAAGGCAAAGGCCATGTTGGTGTCGCTGTGCCTAGTGAAATAGTATCAGTGGTACCAAAGGACAGAACTAGTTAGTGTTTACTTATACCATTAGACACCTGCTGCTGAAGCTGATGACTGATCAGATTTAGGGCTACAGGTAACTAACTACAAGTAACACTTTTACTGTCAGATTACCTAACGCTTCCGCTAACACTGTATACACCTGTCACCTAATTACCTCTGGCAGTGAAAATCCAATAGGACCACTCATGCTGTTCTCTTCAGAAGAAGAGCTGTTGGTAATCTCCGGCCAATTTTTCACAACTTACTCCACCTGTGTTTCATACAGTTAGATGTACAAGTATATAATGGTAATTTTAACTAAACTGCAGAAATTGTAATTTGTGAGTATTAATGATATATGTTTATCCATCAATCGTGGGTGATTCATAACTGAAAAACAAAGCATGAAATTATAGCACGATACATTACAGAAGCTTCAGGCATTTTATTGGTCACTTGTTACTTTCAGTACTTTTTATTGGTCACTTGTTACTTTCAGTACTTTTTATTGGTCACTTGTTACTTTTAATACTTTTTATTGGTCACTTGTTACTTTCAGTACTTTTTATTTATTTCCCTTGTTGTTGTTGTTCTCCTCCTCCTCCTCCTCCTCCTCCTCCTCCTCCTCCTCCTCCTCCTCCTCCTCCTCCTCCTCCTCTTTCTTCTTCTTTCTTCTTCTTCTTCTCATGTACGATCATCTCAGAGGTTACAGTGTGTAATATATAAAGAGACAATTCTATTGATAATACTCCTATTCCTTGCTATAGTACAGATCTCTGATAAATGTCCTGTCAGAACTGGTCTATCCTATCCTCTTTTGTTTGATGTGTTTTAGGATTAACAGCCATTCGGAGTGACGAGGTGTATGATCTGATGCACAGGGACTACCCAGATAAATATGCTGTAAGTATGCGTGGTTATAAGATACAGTTGTAATGACCTGATCCATATTACTTATAGCGTTACTTATAAAGAGGCACATGTACATATATTATTTTGTTCGCGTCAAGTAGATCCTCTTTACACCAGATACTGTTAGGATTAAAAATTGCCTGGTTTACAGAGAAGTTCAGATTATATAACCTATATGTCTGACCAACTATCAACTATTTCTGTGCTTAAAACAACAGGCATTTAGCTTAGACATGAACTATTGGTTAGGCAGGTTTTCTGGATGATGCTTCTAGTTTTCTTAACAAAAGTGTACATCACAACAATTAGGTCAATATTCCGAATGAAGGAGAATTCCAGAGTGTAGAGAATTACATTACTAGGGGGAATCCAGAGTGTAGAGAATTACATTAGGGGGAATCCAGAGTGTAGAGAATTACATTATTAGGGGGAATCCAGAGTGTAGAGAATTACATTATTAGGGGTAATCCAGAGTGTAGAGAATTACATTATTAGGGGGAATCCAGAGTGTAGAGAATTACATTATTAGGGGGAACCAAGAGTGTAGAGAATTACATTACTGGGGGTAATCCAGAGTGTAGAGAATTACATTATTAGGGGTAATCCAGAGTGTAGAGAATTACATTATTAGGGGGAATCCAGAGTGTAGAGAATTACATTATTAGGGGGAACCAAGAGTGTAGAGAATTACATTACTGGGGGTAATCCAGAGTGTAGAGAATTACATTATTAGGGGGAATCCAGAGTGTAGAGAATTACATTTATTAGGGGGAATCCAGGGTGTAGAGAATTACATTACTAGGGGGAATCCAGAGTGTAGAGAATTACATTTATTAGGGGGAATCCAGAGTGTAGAGAATTACATTACTAGGGGGAATCCAGAGTGTAGAGAATTACATTACTAGGGGGAATCCAGAGTGTAGAGAATTACATTACTAGGGGGAATCCAGAGTGTAGAGAATTACATTACTAGGGGGAATCCAGAGTGTAGAGAATTACATTACTAGGGGGAATCCAGAGTGTAGAGAATTACATTTATTAGGGGGAATCCAGAGTGTAGAGAATTACATTACTAGGGGGAATCCAGAGTGTAGAGAATTACATTACTAGGGGGAATCCAGAGTGTAGAGAATTACATTACTAGGGGGAATCCAGAGTGTAGAGAATTACATTTATTAGGGGGAATTCAGAGTGTAGAGAATTACATTACTAGGGGGAATCCAGAGTGTAGAGAATTACATTACTAGGGGGAATCCAGAGTGTAGAGAATTACATTTATTAGGGGGAATCCAGAGTGTAGAGAATTACATTACTAGGGGGAATCCAGAGTGTAGAGAATTACATTACTAGGGGGAATCCATAGTGTAGAGAATTACATTACTAGGGGGAATCCAGAGTGTAGAGAATTACATTACTAGGGGGAATCCAGAGTGTAGAGAATTACATTTACTAGGGAGAATCCAGAGTGTAGAGAATTACATTATTAGGGGGAATCCAGAGTGGAGAGAATTACATTATTAGGGGGAATCCAGAGTGTAGAGAATAACATAATTAGGGGGAATTCAGAGTGTAGATAATTACATTACTAGGGGGAATCCAGAGTGTAGAGAATTACATTATTATGGGTAATCCAGAGTGTAGAGAATTACATTACTAGGGGGAATTCAGAGTGTAGAGAATTACATTACTAGGGGGAATCCAGAGTGTAGAGAATTACATTATTATGGGTAATCCAGAGTGTAGAGAATTACATTACTAGGGGGAATTCAGAGTGTAGAGAATTACATTACTAGGGGGAATCCAGAGTGTAGAGAATTACATTATTATGGGTAATCCAGAGTGTAGAGAATTACATTACTAGGGGGAATCCAGAGTGGAGAGAATTACATTATTAGGGGGAATCCAGAGTGTAGAGAATTACATTATTAGGGGGAATTCAGAGTGTAGAGAATTACATTATTAGGGGTAATCCAGAGTGTAGAGAATTACATTACTAGGGGGAATCCAGAGTGTAGAGAATTACATTATTAGGGGGATTCCAGAGTGTAGAGAATTTTATTACTAGGGGGATCCAGAGTGTAGAGAATTACATTACTAAGGTGAATCCAGAGTGTAGAGATTTACATTACTGGGGGGAATCCAAAGTGTAGAGAATTACATTACTAGGGGGAATCCAGAGTGTAGAGAATTACATTTACTAGGGGGAATCCAGAGTGTAGAGAATTACATTACTAGGGGGAATCCAGAGTGTAGAGAATTACATTACTAGGGGGAACCCAGAGTGTAGAGAATTACATTACTAGACAAAATCTAGAATGTAGAGAATTACATTACAAAAGGAAATCCAGAGTGTAGAGAATTACATTACTAGGGGGAATCCAGAGTGTAGAGAATTACATTACTAGGGGGAATCCAGAGTGTAGAGAATTACATTACTAGACAAAATCTAGAATGTAGAGAATTACATTACAAAAGGAAATCCAGAGTGTAGGAAATTACTTTATTAGGCGGAATGAAGGAGTTTGTCTCTGTGTTAGACTTAAAGAAAGGATGGCCCAGAGATTCTACTACTAAGTACTATAAAATAGATACCTGTTGTCTTTCTATGCTTCAGTTGTTTGAGACCAGGTCCACATTTAGTATTGTCCTTTTATCACATTTCTATTTTCTTTTTTCTTAGTATTTCTATCTAACTTCTAATCTGCTTTGGTTACATGTAGTAATTGTCAAATTTATACCTCTCCGAGGATTAAGATTTCAGTTTCAGTGCTATTTATACTTGAGGTCAGAGGTCAAGACCATTGTTCAGGAGTAGATGTCTTCTGCTGATTACTGTATAACTTTATAATTACAGGAATATGCAGCTGTACTGCATGAGCGAGAGAGGCAGACCATCAAGGAGAAACACAAAGACTATGAAGTGGTGAGTCTGTCCTCAAAAATCTCCTTCACCATGTCGTCAACATGAAAGCATTATCATGAGAGTAATCATTTTATCAATTAATGAAAATTCAGAACTTATTTGTTTTAACTTTAATACATTATGCTGTCATAAAAACATTGTCATCACACTCTCATCAATACATTGTCATCAAAACTATCACATGTTCATCACATTGTCATCAAAACCATCACATGTTCATCACATTTTCATCAAAACTATCACATGTTCATCACATTGTCATCAAAACCATCACATATTCATCACATTGTCATCAAAACTATCACATGTTCATCACATTGTCATCAAAACTATCACATATTCATCACATTGTCATTAAAAGTATCACATGTTCATCACGTTGTCATCAAAACCATCACATATTCATCACATTGTCATCAAAACTATCACATATTCATCACATCATCATCAAAGTCATCACATATTCATCACATCGTCATCAAAACTATCACATATTCATTACATTGTCATCGAAACTATCACATGTTCATTACATTGGCATTTAAACTATATCATGGTCATCATATCATCATCAAAGATATAATGCTGTTTATTCGTTTACCATCATTTGGAATCATCAAAACTATCAAATTGTTACACTTTTGTAACTATGATTTAACAACCAGTCCGTGTAGCTGATAATCACATTGTATTGTTTAGCCCAAGTTAGAGAAAAGTAAGATGACTGAGTACATCAAGAAGGCTATGAAGTCTGCATCAGAATGGAACACAGTCTTCCTCAGAGAGAGAAAGGAGGAACGCAAAGCCTATTTTGATCTTCAGACGTTTGTAAGTAACGTACCTACCCTACATTCTAAAGTACAGCAATCTCTTAAAGTCATAGAAGTTAAAGTATAAAACTGTTCAACATTTTACCATAAGTTTTACATCTGTAATTACTGTAGAATTATTCATCATACGTGGGCGATTATTTTTTTAATTTATGAGTTCTCTGAATTCACACATTTAGAAGTCCATGAACTGATAAGACTTTGATTACAGAACTAATGAATTTTCTGAACAAGATTTGTTCACAGATTTAAGTGCCAACAAAGATGTATTATTTTCAGAAAACCACAAAATATCTGAGCCTCTGGAAAATACATGATTTTACAATAAACCACAGACAACAGTAACTAAGACATACTTTATTGTAATATATTTACATTGTCAGTCTGTTTAGTAGGAAATGTGTTAAGATGTTGTTTAACATTTTTCCTGCCGTTGGTATATATACGTACCAATACAAAAATTATGTTTGACCTTTTGATGATCACATTGTCATCTTCTTTAGACATAGCAGGCTTCTTCTAAACAGAGAAAAGGGGGCCCATAGAATTTCACCCATCTACCACCAAATCAACATGCTTTCACTATCACCTTGTTGTTATTTAGTCAAATTAATTTTCAGTTTACTGTACATGGGATTGAAGGATAGTTTAACGGTTGTCATAGTGACCTCATTAAGAAACATTTTATTTCTTTGTGCTTTATGAAGATGGACATGTTTGATGCTTGTAAATTTGCATGTTGGTTCCATTGTGGTATAACTTTTTCTCATTTGAGAATGTGATATTACTTTCTTAGATTCAACAAGATTTACACGACAGGTGTCATTGATGAAGCAGAAGACACTTACTCTTCTGGAACACCTGGTCTCCTTCTCCTTGTACATTTTCTGGAGTCTCCTTGTAAATCTTAGTAAATCATAGTTTTATGGAATTTAAACTTGGATTATGATTATGTTGACATGTTGGTATTTTCTTGTATTTAATAGAGTATAAATTGGAGGGGACACTACCATATAAATGGGAGGGGTTTAAGTCATAATGCTGTTATATAAATGGGACTGGGTTCAGTAATTCAAGCTCAAGTAAACTACAACTGTGATATTATATCTCTATCCTTTACTTAACTGGGAGTAAAATCAAACGACATAGTATCAATGTAATTGTCATCTGTGCTTGTTGTGTAAGAGATATGTTCAATATCTTTTTATCTATTTCAGAATGTTCACTATCCAGCTGGTCGGTTTAAAGTGCTGCCTGCTGACCTGACATCACCAAGTCCTTATCCTGTTACATTGATTCCAGGCCAGTACCAGGATTACTACAAAAAGTAGGTCAGACAAGTCTTACAACAAAAAGTAGGTCAGACAAGTCTTACAACAAAATGTAGGTGACCCAAATAGTAATACAAAAAGTAGGTCACTACAATATCGCTACCAGAAGGTCAACCAAATGGTAGTATAGAAAGTAGAACAGCTGAAATATTATATACTGCAAAAATTAGGTCTCCAAAGTACTGCAAAAGAAGTCACCAAATTGTAACTTCAAAAAAGTAGATCATTCTAATACTACTACAAAATGTATAAAAGTATGTCATCCAAATATTACAAAAAAATGTCACCCAATATTTCTTCAAAGAAGGAAACCCAAATACTACTCTCTACTACAAAAGGTAGGTCACCATAATGTTACTACAAACAGATGATCCAAACACTGCTTCTTAGAGTAGGTCACCCCAATATTAGGTCTCAGAAATGTTAGTACATAGAATATTACATATATATATATATATATATAATCACATTTTCACTATATATATATATATATATATATGTACCTGAAACATTAGATCACCCAAATACATGTATTACATAATATTTACCAGTTTAGAAAATTTTACCTTACCAGTTCACTGTAAATGACTACATGGTCTTATTCGAAACACCATAGGCTGTTATCATGCTAATTTCACTACATATTGAAGTTAAGAGGCCATTTAAAAGATTAATGAAAACTACATCGATAAGTAATTGGGATGTTTATCACATCTGATATTTTAAAATAGAATGGTGATTCATTTTATCAAATTTCACTGAACAGTCATTCCCCAGAGGAGCTGAAGTACCTACCCCTCAATACTGCTCTGTATAATCCACCAAAACAGATGGGGAACAGTCTGGCTAACCCTCAGGAGGTCTTGTCTGAAGATGCTTCAGAAGAGGATGCTGAGGTAAGGTCAAGGTCAACATTCAATGCTAGGTTCAAGTCCAGGATTTGTTATGAAAGATTTATGTCTAGATTTGAGGAGGATGTTGAGGTTGTTGAGGTAAATGTTTAGTGAGGGCAATGTTAGTTGATCTTGTTTTTCACAATAAACAATACTGGGATCAGAAAAAGACACAGAGGTAAGGTCAAGGTCATATTAGCTGTATAGGCAGTTGACTATAATATGTTTATTTTTTAAGTACAAAGAAAACTAGCACTTTGATATTTTACTAGTGTTCTGTTAATTTTGTAAGAATTCTGTGTTTAAGGCTGGTGGTGCCTCTGACTCGGAAAGTGATGATGACAGCAGCAGTGGAGAGTCTGATGACAGCAGTGGTCAGGACAGTGGTCAGATGGTTGAAGACCTGGCCAAAGGAGAAAAGGTCAGTATCCTCGTATGTAGAAGACTGTTTACACAGTGTACTCTTTTTTCTTTTAAAGATTATATATAATTGTAAAGTTTGAAAAAAATAATCTGTTGTTGTTGGTCAATTCAGGGTCAGGATGACCTGACATGTCGTATGTGTGAGAAACAGGGGGAGGCAGATGAAGATATGGTCCAATGTTCAGAGTGCAAGAAGTTTGGTAAGTATACTTCATTATACTGTCTGGCTGACATTCTAGTAAGTCTTCTGTCTTCATTGTTTCTTGTTTCAATATCTCAGTAAAACACTACTTTTTCTATCGTTTTATATGATTTAAAATAAATTATTATCTCTAAGAAAAAATTAGGGCACATGTGAATACTGTTGATAAAAAGCTTACCAATAAGCTTAACTTGGAAGTAAATTACATTCATTTACATATTTATTGCAAAATTTGATAATTATAATGAAATTTCTATCCAATAATTTATGCTTTTAGGTCATCCTACTTGTCTGGATCTGACAACAGAGATGGTGACAGTTATCAAAACATATCCTTGGCAGTGTATGGAGTGTAAAACTTGTGTGGAGTGTATGGACCCATATGATGAGGTAAGTAAAGCTAACAGTTGGAAGTGTATGGAGTGTAAAACTTTCGTGGAATGTATTGATCTGTAAGTTGGTGGTGTATGGATTGTAAAACTTTCGTGGAATGTATGGATCTGTAAGTTGGGAGTGTATGGAGTGTAAAACTTTCGTGGAATGTATGGATCTGTAAGTTGGGAGTGTATGGATTGTAAAACTTTCGTGGAATGTATGGATCTGTAAGTTGGAAGTGAATGGATTGTAAAACTTTCGTGGAATATATTGATCTGTATGATTGGAGAACTAACTCTCTTAACACAATTATTATAGGTGTATAGGGTATATATGATACAGACCTCATTAGTAAGAAATCATATAGATTAAAACCAATTACCTTGTTACTGAATTGCGATCAGCCTAGTGTCTTATTCCAACTGGAGATAACTATGTCTTGATCTGAAATGGAACTTACTGTGTCAATTTCATACACTTTTGTGGTGTCTGTTTTCAGGACAAGATGATATTCTGTGACAGATGTGACCGGGGCTACCACACATTCTGTGTTGGTCTCAGATCCATCCCCAATGGGCAGTGGAAGTGTCGCAGCTGTAAGAGCCCAGACGCCCCCCGTACTCCAAAGTCATCATCCAAGATAAGGTCAGTGTTTCAACCAGGCTAATTTTGTGGTCCAACATTTAACTCCTTTTGAAATCTAGATCTTGTCAATGCACATGAAGAGTTGGAGAAATTACAAAAACGATGTAATAATGTGAGTAGATTTATAGAGATTTTTTTATCCACAAAACAAAGTGCCCAAGAAAACAATTTTTTATAACAAAGTTTAGCCCCAACAGTATATATGATTCACAGTTAATCTGATTTTTCAGGGGCAGAGGACGGAAAAGAGGCAATAACACTCCAGCTAAGGAAGGATGATTTTAGTGTGTATTATAGTGTTGTATGTAATGAGGATCAAGCCAAGTGTTCACTCATTACAGTGTACAGTGTAATAAAACAGAATAGTTGTCACGAAATGCTCAATGTTAAACTGCCACACAGCTGGTTTACATGGCGATAGCGATGTAATCGACAAGAAATATCAGTGGTCAGTGATACTGTAGCTGTTTCATGCTGACTATAAAAACAAAGGATGTAATTCAAGAATTCATGAACTGACGTTGTGGAAGTTATTGCATTATGAATGATTTTCTCCACCATTGCAGGTTTTGGAGCTCATTTAAGTGGTAAAGATTTTATTTGAATCTGTATGTTTGTTTTTATTGTTACGGTATATATTTGTTTGTCTTGCTCCTGTTGATACTTTTAACAACCAACAAACTTAATAGAGGACAGCAGGACATATTTCTTTAACCCAAAGTAGGTGTCATTCAAAATAAACAATTTAAGAGGAGCTTTTGTATGTAAAACCTTTTGCCATGCCGTCTTTTGAACTATGATATTTTATCTCTGGAACGACAGATCAGTAACCAAGATGTTGGTTTCTTGCACAGAATGTAAGAGTGCTTTATTTTGTATACTTCAATGTCATATCTATCATATAAAGAAAAATTAAATATTGTGAAGAATCTTTTGATTGATTATTGTTGTGTCTATACCCCACCACCATCAGCTGATGAACTGTTTTAGTAACCCTACATCCAGCATTCGTTGTCTCTCCACCCTTAAACAAACCTTGTTATCACTATTTTGGAGAAGCGTTTGATGGATTATTCTCCAATTAAATATGTATGTTTGCCTTGGTCCTTAGATAGTCCATTTTGGGACTGATTGGAAGAAAGCAATAATAAAATGGCTCACAATTGGCCATCTTGGTTTTTGACAGTCATAGTCTGTAATCATCATTTCAAGAGAAGTTTTTGAGTCATTTTCTAACAGTTTCCACTGGTCCCTTGTGATCTCTTAATTTTGGGACTGATTAGCAAAACAAAATGGCTGATGTATTTTTGGGATGAATACTGCTGACATACTTCAGAGGGTCAATATTTCACATTTTTGATGAATCAATAAAACCACAAAAATAAGATTGCCTTGAAAATGAAAGTTAATTGATTATTAAGTTTCAGTGTATGGTATATTTTTTGTCCACTTTATATTATTGCATAAAAATACCTTTCTTTTCTATCAGTAGCATGAATATTTCATTAAGATATAAATGGTCAAGTGATTTTTTTTTTAAATACTCTTGTTTCAAAAGAGCTTTTTTGACTGAAATTTTTAGGTCAACCAGACCAAAGTTGAGTGACTTTTTATAGTCCCTCTTTGTCCACCATTGTGCATCATCCAATTTTTATCATCCATGAACATTTTCACATTTTTAACTTCTTAAAGGTTACTGCAGTGATTTACACTTAAATCACTGATATAGTTACACTATGATTTGGTAACGTTTACACTTAAATCACTGATATAGTTACTATGATTTGGTAACTTTTACACTTAAATCACTGATATAGTTACTATGATTTGGTAACTTTTACACTTAAATCACTGATATAGTTACACTATGATTTGGTAACTTTTACACTTAAATCACTGATATAGTTACTATGATTTGGTAACTTTTACACTTAAATCACTGATATAGTTACACTATGATTTGGTAACTTTTACACTTAAATCACTGATATAGTTACACTATGATTTGGTAACTTTTACACTTAAATCACTGATATAGTTACACTATGATTTGGTAACTTTTACACTTAAATCACTGATATAGTTACTATGATTTGGTAACTTTTACACTTAAATCACTGATATAGTTACACTATGATTTGGTAACTTTTACACTTCAATCACTGATATAGTTACTATGATTTGGTAACTTTTACACTTAAATCACTGATATAGTTACTATGATTTGGTAACTTTTATACTTTTACTGGATAAATCTCACACAAATTTCATATGAAGGTTCTTCTTTGTCCCTTGTTGTGTCTGTTTGATCTTGGGACTAGTCAGGCATAAACATGGCAGAGAGGTGGCCATTTTGGATTTCAATAATGAAAGTTTGTTATCACTAATTTGTGAGATGTCTTTGTCCCTAGTTGATTTTTGAACTGATCAGAAAAAAGAAAATGTCTAAACAGGCAGCAATTTTTGGTTTAGCACTGAAAGATTATTATCACTATTTCTTCAGAAGAATGTTGAAATTTGGTATACTCCAGTACAAAAACAGATGAAAAAAAGAAGAAAAATGGTCAAACTTTTAAAGAATAAATAAAAATTAAATGATTGTAGGCACAAAGATCCCTACAAGACCTCTTGTTAATCATGTACAATGATAATATATACATGGTATTCAGTTATGTAAACTGTTTACAATCAGTTCAATTACATCTGGCATACATTTAAATTTGGTAATTAATCTGTGTTAACGATTTTCAAATAACATAATATGCTTAACTTTGGATATATATTATAAGTAATTAGCCTTTGTGAGAGTGTATTGTACTGAAATGGAAGAGTGGAACCTAATAGGTGAAAAGAATTTAATCTTAATTATGGATTATCAAAACCACATCATTACCATAAGGTAATCAGACTGCCCCAGTAACGGGCATTAAGAGCCATCACACCATACATGAAAGTGCACTTAACACCAGGAACTTTTCTAATAAACCATGCAGTCCAAGTTCCTAATTAATACCATGAAATTCAGGGTGTTCTTCAACTAAAGTTTTTTCCAAACAGAAGATTACAGAATTTAATTAAAAGGTTCTAAAATAGTATATTTATTTTCACCATGTTTATGTTTCATTGTAGAAAAACTTACATATAGGAATTCTGTTAGTAAAGGAGCAGTTCATGAAACTAGAGTAGCATACTCTACATCAGGAACTCCTCTGATGTCACTGGTGTATTCCTCTGCATCAGGAACTCATCTGATGTCACTGGTGTACTCTTCTACATCAGGAACTCCTCTGATGTCACTGGTGTCCTCTTCTACATCAGGAACTCATCTGATGTCACTGGTGAACTCATCTGATGTCACTGGTGTACTCTTCTACATCAGGAACTCCTCTGATGTCACTGGTGTACTCATCTGCTCAGGAACTAATCTGATGTCACTGGTGTACTCCTCTGCATCAGGAACTCATCTGATGTCACTGGTGTACTCTTCTACATCAGGAACTCATCTGATGTCACTGGTGTACTCTTCTACATCAGGAACTCCTCTGATGTCACTGGTGTACTCTTCTACATCAGGAACTCCTCTGATGTCACTGGTGTCCTCTTCTACATCAGGAACTCATCTGATGTCACTGGTGTACTCTTCTACATCAGGAACTCATCTGATGTCACTGGTGTACTCTTTACATCAGAAACTCATCTGATGTCACTGGTGTACTCATCTGCTCAGGAACTAATCTGATGTCACTGGTGTACTCTTCTACATCAGGAACTCATCTGGTGTTACTGGTGTACTCTTCTACATCAGGAACTCCTCCGATATCACTGGTACACTCTTCTACATCAGGAACTCCTCTGATGTCACTGGTGTACTCCTCTGCATCAGGAACTCATCTGATGTCACTGGTGTAGTCTTCTACATCAGGAACTCCTCTGATGTCACTGGTGTCCTCTTCTACATCAGGAACTCATCTGATGTCACTGGTGTACTCTTCTACATCAGGAACTCCTCTGATGTCACTGGTGTACTCTTCTGCATCAGGAACTCATCTGATGTCACTGGTGTACTCCTCTGCATCAGGAACTCATCTGATGTCACTGGTGTAGTCTTCTACATCAGGAACTCCTCTGATGTCACTGGTGTCCTCTTCTACATCAGGAACTCATCTGATGTCACTGGTGTACTCTTCTACATCAGGAACTCCTCTGATGTCACTGGTGTACTCTTCTGCATCAGGAACTCATCTGATGTCACTGGTGTACTCCTCTGCATCAGGAACTCATCTGATGTCACTGGTGTAGTCTTCTACATCAGGAACTCCTCTGATGTCACTGGTGTCCTCTTCTACATCAGGAACTCCTCTGATGTCACTGGTGTATTCCTCTACATCAGGAACTCCTCTGATGTCACTGGTGTACTCTTCTACATCAGGAACTCCTCTGATGTCACTGGTGTAGTCTTCTACATCAGGAACTCATCTGATGTCACTGGTGTACTCTTCTACATCAGGAATTCATCTGATGTCACTGGTGTACTGAACATTAAGAACTCCTATACTGATAGTGCTATATATAACAAGAACTTTTGATACAGTTGATGCTCTTTACATCAAGACCTTCTCCGATACTACTGGTATACTATACATCATGAACTTTTCTGATGTCGCAGTTGTACTACATTAGGAACTCCTCTAATACTTAATTGCTGGTTTGAAGCTCAGTGTGGCAGGGTGTTTTTCATTACTCCTTCCTATTACAATCACCTTGCCACTGCTGGCGACCCTTCCATTACTAGACAGACACACTACCGCTCAACTAAAGAGAAATTGCCGCTTGCTGAGACTAGTAAAGCGACCTGTACTCTCAACTTCTACAACTTTAAGACATTCTGTAATACCAAAAATGTTTTACATTTCTCAGGAACTCCTCTGATATCACTGGTGTTTTCTACAGTAGGAACTCCTCTAATATCACTGGTGTTTTCTACAGTAGGAACTCCTCTGATATCACTGGTGTTTTCTACAGTAGGAACTCCTCTAATATCACTGGTGTTTTCTACAGTAGGAACTCCTCTGATATCACTGGTGTTTTCTACAGTAGGAACTCCTCTAATATCACTGGTGTTTTCTACAGTAGGAACTCCTCTGATATCACTGGTGTTTTCTACAGTAGGAACTCCTCTAATATCACTGGTGTTTTCTACAGTAGGAACTCCTCTGATATCACTGGTGTTTTCTACAGTAGGAACTCCTCTAATATCACTGGTGTTTTCTACAGTAGGAACTCCTCTGATATCACTGGTGTTTTCTACAGTAGGAACTCCTCTAATATCACTGGTGTTTTCTACAGTAGGAACTCCTCTGATATCACTGGTGTTTTCTACAGTAGGAACTCCTCTGATATCACTGGTGTTTTCTACAGTAGGAACTCCTCTGATATCACTGGTGTTTTCTACAGTAGGAACTCCTCTAATATCACTGGTGTTTTCTACAGTAGGAACTCCTCTGATATCACTGGTGTTTTCTACAGTAGGAACTCCTCTAATATCACTGGTGTTTTCTACAGTAGGAACTCCTCTGATATCACTGGTGTTTTCTACAGTAGGAACTCCTCTGATATCACTGGTGTTTTCTACAGTAGGAACTCCTCTGATATCACTGGTGTTTTCTACAGTAGGAACTCCTCTGATATCACTGGTGTTTTCTACAGTAGGAACTCCTCTGATATCACTGGTGTTTTCTACAGTAGGAACTCCTCTGATATCACTGGTGTTTTCTACAGTAGGAACTCCTCTGATATCACTGGTGTTTTCTACAGTAGGAACTCCTCTGATATCACTGGTGTTTTCTACAGTAGGAACTCCTCTGATATCACTGGTGTTTTCTACAGTAGGAACTCCTCTGATATCACTGGTGTTTTCTACAGTAGGAACTC